TCTCTCTCTTTTACACACACACACACACACACACACAAACCCACAAATATATGTGTGAGTAATTCTGTTATCAAATTCATATCTTCAGAATATCTTCAGAAAGACAAATAGAAATATTTTATTAAAACAAAACTATTTTTAATTGAAAGCCTGAAATAGCTAAATGATTTGAATTGTAGATAGTCCTTATCTTCCTATAGCTGCCGGTAGTTACTTGTAAAGTTCCAGGTGCTGAGAGCTGCCAGGAATGCAGATGTCCCTATGCTCAACCATAGCTCCCAGAAATTTTATTGGCTGCTATTTCTAGCACATTTGACTTTCAATTTCTAAATTATCTTAAAGGCTTGAATTTAAACCTGCATTTACTGGAATATTTATGAATAAGGAAAATGTGTTTTGATACCACCTGGTGGTATTATGTCCTTGTGACAAACTCATGTGAGTTTATTTTACAAGACTAATTTATGGAGTTAATTTACTTACTTATCTGCTTCAAATATGCATAGAAACAAAACCACATTTTTAAATTACATGTGAAGCCTTTCATCAGTAAATCATTAGAAAATATATTTTGTGGAAATTTTTAAAATTACACTGACAATTCACTATATCTATTGGCATGTAGTTAAATATTCAATTATATTATAAAATAGGGACTGTGTAATATGGCAATGGTAAGTGAATCATGAAAATAATTACTCTTTGATTAAAAGGTGTATCTTTTTACATTGATTATGCTATTTTTAAAAATAATTATATCTACTTGGCCCTAAGAGAGTCCCAATGGATCAAAGTCATATCTGTATATCTTTCAAAAGTCAAAGACAGTTGTGTATATGTTTTATTTGTCTTTATTTTATTAAATGTATGGAAAACAAAGTAAAATTGTAGTGACGAAATAATAATTATATTTTTCAGGAATATAGTTCATATATTCTTTTACTTATAGTAAATTGCATGAGAATATAAGAGAGAGTGAGAAAGAGAGAGAGAGAGAGAGAGAGAGAGAGAGAGAGAGAGAGAGAGAGAGGAGAAAAGAGGCATTCATAAGATTATAATACTTAAAACTTTATACCCAAGAACACCGAGTAAAATTCTTCTATTATTGTTAGGATCCTGACTTTGTTTTTGTTGTTATTGGAACTCTGATTATTGATAGATAATGTCCAATTACAGTTGGTTGCTATAGCATTCTTAAGCACACTTCTGTTTACAAACCTTTATCTTGGAGATAGTTTACATGAGGGGAAATGACATCCTCATTTGTCTACAAAACTGGATATTTTGCCTCAATTGATTGGCATTTAGTTTTATTTGTTGAGTTGTACTGCATAAATACAATTAATGTAATGCACATGTCCTATATTAGCAGACATAAGTAAATATGCTAATGATATTTTACCTGAAATTATAAGAGAATGTTGTTACTGCATTTAAATTTTGAATGTAAAAGCAACAAAATCTAAAAATTGTCACCATCTATAGAAATCACTAGACTAAAAGTAATTACAGGGCCAGAATGATATTGTCTCACTTTGTAGTATCTAAATCTCTACCACACTCTACTAGCTTTAGCAGCATCAAAAAGGGGGTGGGGGTGGGGAGACACACTCAAGCAAAAGTGATAGCTTTCAATAAAACAGTACTAGACACAAAGCTAATAGGCTGGCCTGGGCCATGAAGTAGTGTTCTTGTACTTGTAATCTAAGTGCTGACACAAGGCAGAACACTAGGAAAGTTAAAAAGTTGCATGTAACATGAACTAATAAAAGATCCAGAGACTGATATTGGGGTTCACATTTCAAGCTGGATATCAGAACAGCAAAGCAGCTGGTCACTAGCTTCTTACCTCAACCTCAGGCTGAATGGGCTGATCCTGTCTCCAGATTCTCTCACCAAGCCTCAGACTGTAACCTCTGGTTAGTGTGGCTGGAGAATGAATGCCGCTCTAAGACCTTGCTTCCCTGTTATATACTTCCCTAATATTGGGATTACAGGTGTGAGCTATAATTATCTTTTAGACTGATTCACTCTTCTTGTAGATCTGGGTGGCCTTGGACTCTATCTATTTTCTTTATAAATTTTATTTAAATTACAAGCATTCTTATTTTACATGTCAATCCAAGTTCTCTCTTCCTTCCATCCTCAGATGTCCCTCATTGACTCCCCCATCCATTCCCCATCCACTCCCCCAAGAAGAGTTAAGCCTTCCATGAAGGATCATGAAAATCTGTCAAGTCATTTGGGGCAGGGCCTAGGCCCTCCTTGTGTATCTAGGCTAAAAGCGTATTGCACCATGGGATATGTGCCCGCCAAATCTCCATTCTTTCACTAGGGATACATCCTGGTTTCACTGCCAGAGGCCCATAGACTGCCCAGTGCTCCTAGCTGACACCCATGTTCAGAGAGCCTGGTTTGGCCCTGTGTTCATTTCCCAGGTGTCAGACTGGGGTCCATGAATTCCCACTTTCTCGGGTCAGCTGTTTTCCCAGCATGGTTTTGACCCATTTGTGAAACTGGGTTCCAGGATTTTGGCTCAGTGCTTAGCTGTGGATCTCTGCTTCTGCTTCCATCTGCTACTGGATGAAGGCTCTAGGATAGCATTTAAGGTAGACACCATTTATCATTGTAGGTAGCATTTAAGGTAGCCTCTCTATTGTTGCTTAGGTTCTTAGTTGGGATCATCCTTGTGGATATCTGTACAATTCCCTAGTGCCAGATTTCTCTTTAAATCTATAGTGGCTCCCTCTATTGATGTTTCTCTTTTCTTGTTCTCCTCTATTCCTCTCCCCACTCAATCTTCCTATTTCCGCATGTTCTCCTTCCCCCTCTTTTTCTTCCTTCCTCTTTCTGCTACCTCCCCCATGCTCTCAATTTATTCAGGGGTTCTTGTCTTTTCCATGTCACTGGGAGACCCTATATCTCTCTCTTATGGTCCCCCTTGTTTCCTTGCTTCTCTGGAGGTGTGCAATGTAGTCTGGCAATCCATTCCTCTATGTCTAATATCCATATATGAGTGAGTACATACCATGTTTGTCTTTCTGTGACTGGGTTACCTCAGTTAGGATGGTTTCTTGTAGTTCCATCCATTGGCCTGCAAACTTCAAGATTCCATTTTTTTTTTTTTTTTTTTTTTCACTGAGGAGTACTCCATTTGGTAAATGTAACACATTTTCTGTATCCATTCTTCAGTTGAGGGGCATCTGGGTTGCTTCCAGTTTCTGGCTATTACAAACAGCACTGCTATGAACATAGTTGAACAGATGTCTTTGTTGTATGAATGTGCATTCTTTGGGTATATGCCTAAGAGGGGAGATTTGTATTTCTCTTAATCCTGAGTCCTATTATTAAAGGTGTGTCCCACCACCTCCTAGCTTCTGGCTGTTCGGGATTAAAGGTGTGTGTATGGTTTCAAAGGCTTTTGGCTGACTTTACTTTTATGAAGTAAAGTCAGTCCAGCTTTAATAAATCATAAGTAATATATCACTACATTTACATGCATGAGATTTTAATCATTGACCTAGCTAGAAGACTATGTGACATACTAGCCAGGAACAGGATCAGTGGACCCATTTACAGACTCTGAAATTTGTATATTCCAGGAACTACTATTTGTTTTGGAATTACTTAGACACCCAGCACCTTAGTTTACTAAGCACGGAGATGGATTAAAGCTATCTCAGAACAGTGCTGTCATTACTAATACATTAAAATCAACCAACAGATCAAAGTACTTTAATTTTTCTGTTTAGCTGTTATTTTTATCTTAACTATGATTTGAATTAATTATGGATATTTGCATTTAAAGAAATGTTATAGAATCAATTTACTTAGCAAGTGAAAACCAAATACTCAGACACTTATCAATACTTGGAAATTAATATATCATGATGCTTTGAGAGGAAAAGGAGGGAGAGGGAGAAGGAAATTAAACATGTGGACCTGTATGTTCTTGTGGGAAATGTCCATGGGTATTGTTTTTAGAAGTGCTTATATATCTTCATAGGCATTTGGAAATTTATTAGACATTGTCTTTATTTTCCTTTGTAAATTTTATATGAATTACAGTAGATACATTTCAAGTAAGATTCAAAATAGAATGATTTCAATCATAAGCCTGGAGTTGCTGCTGTATGAAGTCATTATGGAGTTCCATTACAGTTCTCTAGAAATTACTCTAAATGCTATTCATAAAAATAAATGGAAGTGAGTGCATCGAAGCATTAAATAACTTCTTTGCTGAATTCTGCCTTAAGTTTACATGGTTCCTACCAATAAAATGCATCTCTTAAATAATTTGCATCATATTTTTGGACATTTATTATCAGTATTTTGGAAATTAAAAGTAATTTGTGTGTTGCAATATCCCCAGAAATGTATGCATTATCTATATTTTATTTTTATATAACTACAATCTGAAGTTATACATTTATGAGTTAATTTTCAACATCCAAAAATGGAATTTAATGTTGGTGTTCTTCCAAAAGTTATTTTAGAGTCACATAGCAAGACATTTTCAATAGTCTGCATTAACCAATTTCATGGGCATAAGTATTAGTGGGTTAAAGAGTAAGACCTTGTTCTCACTTTAAACGAGGCTACCTACAAAACTTGCCGTGAAATAGCTACCTGTATCTTCAAGATATAACTCTGAGGGAATTCATTTAAAAAAAAAGGAATATTTAATTTTGCATATCTTTATTTGTATGTTATACTTCATAGAGAACAATCAATTCAAATATATTGCCTAATTATGTTTCCTCCTGAATAATAATTTTAAGGAAAGAAAAAATAGCCACTTAGAACATATTCTTTATTTCTTAATCTGAGAGATGTCTTAAGTTAAATGGCACTATGAGAAAAAAATATCGATTGCACATGTTGAGGAATTTATGTCTTGGAAAGTGAAGCAGACACCGGAGGGAAACCCACAGTGTCTTATGTTGTTCTGGGGGAGTGGGATCGCTTCCTTATCTTGGGCTCTCTTGTTTGCTTTTCAGTTGCTGCGAGTGTGGCTGTGGGAGGGCTTCTTCCCTGTGCGCTGTTGCCCATCCAAGCCTAATATGGTTAGTGTTCCCTGCTGCCTCACCTCTGTGTGATGTCCACCTCTCTGTCCTCTCTCCAACCTTTCTTTACTTTCTACACCTGTGTTCATCTTACCAGGTAGTGAACCAGCTATGCTTTAAACTTGAGAAGAGTAGACTACAGTGAAAGTTCAGGACAGTAGATAGATCTCATTCCCGAAAAAGAAACTCCTGAGGATTTTGACAATAGGTCATTTTAAATAAAACACTATGAGCAGAGCAGAGTATGTCAAGATCTGTCCCATTTAACATGTCACTGTTTGCGTTGTTCCATTCAATGAATTCCATATCATACATGAAAGACTTCTGTCCAGGTAAAATCACCTTTCTGTGTCCCGAAACCATTGAATGTCCATAATGTGACCACAGTCTTCTATCATCATAATTATCATGGATACA